GATTTGCTTTGAGGATGATGTCGTGTCCATAGATAGAGGAGGGCGTATCCGTAGGTAGGTAAATTTAAGTAGACATAAAGCATCGTCTACTCTACGTAATCATCTACAGTTTGGCGTACAGTAATTTAATTAATAACTTCCGTCACTCTCGGGCGTAATCATACTAGTAACGCCCTTGGGACGTAAATAGCTATTGTGGAAATATATAAGATTAATCGCGTATATAACAGATTACACTCGCTGGAGTTTTGCGTTGGGCGAGGAAGCCATTTTTGTATACTTGAATTATAGGTAGGTACATTCGTTGAAACGCAAGATTCGGAGATAAATAGAAATACATATGTGGATGTGCAGAGAAGTTCATTAACGCGGTTTTTGGGAAATTAGTGCTGTGTATTACGTGATAGTTACGGCGTGTAAATAATGTTTTAATTTGTAATCCTTGTGTTGTATATCGTATTTGGTTACTGTAATTAATTTATCAAAGCGATGTCTAAATTAGTTTAGGTATAAATTACCTACCTACCAGAAGGTTGGGTAATTATATTTCATCTTGTAATTTTATTTTTAAATCAGTTTTTCGGTAGGTAATGCGAGAATGTGTTTTTGCATGTGAACGTAGTAATTCTAGGTTCGTTGTGGTTTTCACGATCCTCTTTACCTTTTACAAATTATACAAATTAAGCTGATTATTTTTGTTGCTTAGTTTCGATCCAAAATGGAATGGGATATAATACTGCTTTTGTTTAATTCACGTGGCATTACGTTCAAGTCTCGCTGGTTAATCACACTAATAGAGTACATTACAATACTGTAAATTACTCTGTCGTGGAGATACGAAATTTTGTAAAACAGCTCTAAACATCTGCTAAGTATACGAGTTATGTTCAGGTAGGAATTCCACTATGGAATCTGACCTCTATTATTATTATTACCTTCGGGTTGAATTGTATTTCAAACGCAGATCCCTACTGTCCCTCCCTACATGTTAGTAGGGGTAAGTGAAGGAAGGGTACCTATATTCATGTTCTTTTGGAAGCGGTTTTTCCTCGGGTTTTTCTTGTGTCACATGTCACCTTTCAAAGACTATGTGAGGGCGTATTTAACGGTATTATACAATAAATGCATATGGAAAGATGCTGGGTTGTGTGCAGTGTAACAGTATAATTTCGATTCGATAGCACTAGCTATTAGGTATACCTACTGCAACAAATCGTTCCTACCTAGCAAGTGCCATACGTCACTCCATTGCCAACCAGTTTTTACCAATTTTTAGGATTTTTAATTTAATTTTTAGGCTTGCATGAGACCTCACAGTTGCGTATATGTCATCCGATGGATATTTTAATTATCTATTCGAGATGTTTTTATTTCTCCTGTAAGATGAAATGGGGAACAGGAATTGCCTAAAATGTATTTTCCCATGTTATTTCCCTATGTCCCGCCTTTAACTTGCCACACTGTATGTATATCTCTCGCTCACAAAGACGTCGTCTGTGACGAGTCCGCCGACGAAAGTTGGTTTCCTTCCGTTTATTTACCTATAGGCACAGATTAAGTGCTATAGGTAATTATTTGAACGCACAATCTTTTTACCAAATATTTTTTTGAAATTGCTCATTACGTTATAATTGACAGAATTTTTTTCTTTCTTTCTTTATTTAATTCCATTACGATTACATTAAGTAATATTGGATTGTCAATTAGTGATGGAATGATCATACAAATAAGTGTAAAAAGACAGGGTGACAGATCAGTACAGTAACAGTAACAAACAAACATTAAAAATAAGATTGTTCATAAAGTGAAGTGGCATGGTGAGGGACACAGGGATTGCAATAGTGGCGTGTTAGCATTCTAAGACTGCCGTCTTTGTTGGCAGTGAATTGTAATTTATTTTTTAAATTTGTACATTACCGATTAATAAAAATGACGGAATATGAATTTATCCACCAACCACGTCCAAGAAGTAACACATCGTTAATATTGTTGTATATTGGCTCGATATAAAAGCCCAACGGTGCACCCAATCTTGGAAATGCAACAGTGGAACCAATATTCCAATACAATATTGGCACCGTGGTTATGCTTTCTCCCAATCGTACGATCGCTCTCGCGCTCGATGGCTTCGTGTCCAATGATTTAAAGGAGACCGGATGGACCGATTACATTTTGCAGGTGGATTCTTGATCAAATTTGTAGATCGGAGTTCGCGAATTGGCAATGTAGACCAAAAACTAAGGAAGGTCCTGTATTTATTTATTTATTTATTATCCCTCAACAGGCTTGTTTAGTTTAGTGGAATACAAAGCATCGGCCAATATTCATTACTGCTAGGGCAATTTTAATATACTGATTTGTTTCCCGAATAATTATTACGTAACAGTGTTCTTTATACTAAAGCCGAAAACAATTTATACCTAACAGAATTTGTTGCTAACTAAAAATAATAAAAAAAGGTGGAATATGAATTTACTTATTCACCGATACCCATTTTGATGTGTTAATATGGATAAACAATTTGCTTAAAAAATAAATGTTCTTTATACTAAATTTGACAAATAAAAGTTTTTCTGGAACTTGCGAATATTTCGAGGTGACATGGAAATTTTGACATGCACATTATATACGTACTCCAGTTGCTACCCTTACGATAGTTTTAGACGCGTCATGTTTTCCTCGATTTGTCCGAACGAGAAAGTGCTGACCTTACATTTATAATCGCATTCTTTCAATCCTGTTTCATCGCAGGCAAAAAGTATTTACAATTTTTCAGATGATGGATGAAAAGCGACTTCTTTCGTGTGTCGATATTTCGTTTGTATAAAAATAGGTGAAAATGCTAGGAAATTGACTGTACGATAACAGTAATTTCTGTTCTATATAGCTATGTACCCACCTTCGTGTAAGTTACATCGCAAGGTAAACTAGAAATTATTTATTTATTAAGCAAACTACTTACTAATTAATCATCTGTATTGTATACATTCAAGTCTTGAGTACGTGAATGTGTGGTATTTTGTTTACATTACCGCTGCAGTAAATGCATATTGCCTCTCTATTTCTTCCTTTTTCAACCTCGAGAAATTTTGGCTTTATAATGCACGAAAATTCTCTTTGTTTTGATAGTATATTACACATGAGCGTACACAGAAAAATTAATTTGTGTGTTTTATTCATTATCATTTTGGGTTGGCCTAATTTACAAATACCTAATCGAATCAAACGTTGATACACACGTAGGTATACTCATGCAATTTTTTTAAACTTAAGATCATTTTAGCGTGAACCATCGGGCGAAGGGTATAGCTTGGGTCAGGTATTTTTTCATTAGAGCGGAAGTTTAAATATAAAAGAATTTTAATTTTTGTATAGGTGATTACAAATACCTATCCGATCAAGTTAAAATTGCGATATCATTCAAAAATTCTTTTCATTTCATCGAGTAAGTAATAAACTAAAGTAAAGACGTTATGCTAGTGTATACAAACTAAGGGTTGTTATGGCAGTCTAATGTCTGCTTCTCGAAATATATTCTGTACTTTTGGTATAAGTAATTAATGCTTTCCGTTTATGCGAATAGTCCAAGTTCGGGTACATACGTATTTACACACAAAATCTACATACACCGGACTCTGGTGAGCAATTTGCATTAAAAGTAGGTATAAACGGTATCTGTTAGTTTAA